TAGCGAAATCAGATCAACCTAAACTCGTGATTTTATTTGCATTTTTACCGGTGAACGCATAAGTTTACTTAACAAAAAAAGCTGAGGGCCACATAAACTTGCAGATACTTGATTCCTAGATTAATTGCAGATTGAAGACATATATGATCTGCTGTTGTGATTTATAATCGGGTTCTTTATCTTACTGGTTTATGGTACATTACATGTACTTCCTTAAACCGGAGAGTTTTAACTATTCATCAGTAATCAGTATTTACTAGCAAGCAGTAAGTTAAGCATGTTACTTGATAGTAATCAGTATTGATGTCTTTTTGCCTGACTCAAGTTGTAAAGTTTCTCTTGATGCAACTGCCATAAACCCAGCGCGAAAAAGCAAATCTTTCTTTTGGGTTAACTTATACGATTAAATTTTCGATCTCGTTGCTGCTTTTTTAGCATCAATACTTTCAATTTTGAGTAAGAGAAAATGTAATCAGTAAATGTTACGTGAGATTCGAGCCAACCTGTTTCTTTCTACAGTTGTATAAACTCCTTGGTGACTGACTGACCCTGGCTCGTTTTCAAGTGAGTTAAAAACAAACTGCAGGACCATAGAACTTCTCCCCAAGGTAAGAAAATTATGAAAAAAATCTGATATGTGCATTCAGGTCTGTGTTTTTAGCAGTGTTTGTCTGTATATGCATGGATCGATAAAAACACAAAGGTGGAAAGCTTTTGCTTGCTTGCTTTTCTCAATTTGTTGTTGTCGTCAATCTGTAATTTACTACAGTGCATGTTTGTTACATGGCCAACGAAACAATCCTGCTTATTTTTTTATTCTGTACAGTGTGACTTCTTTTATATTCAAAAGAGTTACCATGCCTGTTTGCAAAAAAACTGCAGTCTGTTGATGGAGAATCTTTTGAAGTTTTTAGAGTTGATTTGCATTTGGACCATTTGCGTTTCAGTTTTAAGTTTTGTAATCTCGCTGTTTTAGTTACTAGAAAGATGAAATTCATAATGGTTTCTAGCACTACAGTGTTGACTGGTAAACACTGAACGACTGCTTTCTCCTTGGTGAAAGTTAAGAAGCTTGATTGAAATGTTAGCAGATACAATTTGTATGTAAGGAATTAAACATTCTCCTGACACATTAGAGCGATAAAGCCACTGAGAAAAAGCATATCTTTCTTATTTTTGATCTCTTATTGCTGCTTTGTTCGCAGCAACATTTTCAATTTTGACCAAGAGCAAATGTTTTATATGTTACTTGAGTTTAGAGCCAACTTATTTATTTCTACAATTGTAAACTCCTTGATGACTGACTGACACTGTGTTATTTTCAACAGAATAAAAACAGCTGCACGACTACGAAACTTCTTTGAAAGGTAAGAACTCTGCCAACATTTCTACAACTAAAAACAATTCAAGGGAAGTTTTTAATCTGTTGCTAGTGTGGACTAAAGGTAGTAGGCATTACGTACACCTGTGTTGGAGAGACACGAGAGATGTCTTCCTGCCGAGGACGTATTTTTTGTCTTTCCTCGTGTTTCCACGTACCCATTGTATGAAGATTTCTAAGTTCTAAAATTTGATTTAACTTAGAGGGTGTCAGCAAATTGATCCAATTCCTAACCGGCCGCATGCATTTCCAATCAAGGTCGTCCGATCAAGGTCGGTAGTTTGGGGTGGCGTGACAATTTGTAAAATTAAACCTTCGATTCCGCTTGAGTGCTTCTGATCTCGTGATCGTTGCAGACTTTGATCTGTTCAGACAACACCCTGTCTGCTGAAGGAACGGTTTTCTATTTTATCGGTGGATAAAATGAACTGATTCTAGAAGGGACTTCAGGTCAGGAAAAGAACATTTGCTTCTGAGAATAATTCAGTTGGAGTGACTAGACGGATTCACCGTTAGGCCAGACACAACGACAGTGGGATTCTAATTTAATTTACTAAGTAGATTTTCATTCTATGTAGGAATCTCCTGTTCATGGCCACAGTTGTACGTGGAAGAGACTGATTGTGGCCACAAGAGAAGCTTTAACTTTTCAGGTAAGCAGGATGAGTGAAATAAAATAATGAAACGTGAGCACATTTGAGGGACGAGCAAAATTCGGTAGCGCACCAAGCAACAGACACGGGAAAAACCGTAGTCATTTCCACAGTTATTTAATTATTGAGAAGATTTTAATTTAGTATCCAATAATTTTTGAGTTAACTATCATTCATAACGAGCAGTTCAGTCCCAAGTTTATATACAACGAGACACGTTCGCATTCGAAGAACTTCATTAAAAAGGAAGTCGTGGAATGTGAAATCTAGCCTGTTTCTACGTTTCGCAAAGATTGATCATGAATGACTCAGTTGTCCTAAACAAACTCAATCATCAGCGTTTGTCAGGGAACAATTTCGTCGCCAGGGGTAAAACCAGTAGTTCAATTACCAGCGAACTTAAGCGAAATCAGATCAACCTAAACTCGTGATTTTATTTGCATTTTTTCCGGTGAACGCACAAGTTTACTTTACAACAAAAGCTGAGGGCCACATAAACTCCCAGATACTTGATTCTTAGATTAATTACAGATTGAAGACATATATATATGATCTGCTGTTGTGATTTATAATCGGGTTCTTTATCTTAGTTATATGGTACATTACTTCCTTAAACCGGAGAGTTTTTACTATTCATCAGTAATCAGTATTTACTAGCAAGCATTAAGTTAAGCATGTTACTTGATAGTAATCAGTATTGATGTCTTTTTGCCTGACTCAAGTTGTAAAGGTTTCTCTTGACGCAACTGCGATAAACCCAGCGCGAAAAAGCAAATCTCTCTTATGGGTTAACTAATACGTTTAAACGTTCGATCCCGTTGCTGCTTTGTTAGCATCAATACTTTCAATTTTGAGTAAGAGAAAATGTAATCAGTAAATGTTACGTGAGATTCGAGCCAACCTGTTTCTTTCTAAAGTTGTACAAACTCCTTGGTGACTGACTGATACTGGCTCGTTTTCAAGTGAGTTAAAAAGAAACGGCACGACCATAGACCTTCTCTGCAAGGTAAGAAAATTATGAAAAAAATCTGATATGTGCATTCCGGTCTGTGTTTTTAGCAGTGTTTGTCTGTATATGCATGGATCAATAAAAACACAAAGGTGGAAAGCTTTTGCTTGCTTGCTTTTCTCAATTTGTTGTAGACGTCAATCTGTTAATTTACTACAGTTTATGTTTGCTAACTGGCCAATGAAACAATTCTGCTTATTTTTTTTATTCTGTACAGTGTGACTTTTTTTATATTCAAAAGAGTTACCATGCCTGTTTGCAAAACAACTGTAATCTGTTGAATCTTTTGAATTTTTAGAGTTGATTTGTATTTGGACAATTTGCGTTTCAGTTTTAAGTCTTGTAATCTCGCTGTTTTATTTACTAGTAAGATGAAATTCATAATGGTTTCTAGCACATCAATGTTGACTCGTAAACACTGAACGACTGCTTTCGCCTTAGTGAAAGTTAAGAAGCTTGATTAAAATGTTAACAGATACAATTTGCATGTAAGGAATTAAATATTCTCCTGACACTTTAGAGCGATAAAGCCAATGCGAAAAAGCATGAATTTCTTATTTTTGATCTCTTATTACTGCTTTGTTCGCAGCAACATTTTCAATTTTGACCAAGAGCAAATGTTTTATATGTTACTTGAGTTTAGAGCCAACTTGTTTATTTCTANAAACTGATTCTAGAAGGGACCTCAGGCTAGGAAAAGAACATTTGCTACTGAGAATAATTCAGTTTGCGTGACTAGACATATTCACCGTTAGGCCAGACACAACGACAGTGGGATTCTAATATAAGTTACTAAGTAAATGTTCGTTCTATATAGCTATGTAGGAATCTCCTGTTCATGGGCACAGTTATACGTCGAAGTGACTGATTCTGGCGGCAAGAGAAGCTTTAAAGTTTCAGGTAAACAGGATGAGTGAAATAAAATTATGAAACATAAGCGCATTTGAGGGACGAGCAAAATTCGGTAGCGCTAACAAGCAACAGATACGGGAAAAACCTTACTCATTACCACAGTTGTTTAATTGTTGAGAAGATTTTCATTCAACATCCAATAATTTGTGAGCTAACTATTATTCATAACGAGCAGTGTAGTCCCAAGATTATACCCAATGAAACACGTACGCATTCGAAGAACTGAAAGCGGAAGTCGTGGACTGCGTAATCTAGCCTGTTTCTAAGTTTCGCAAACATTGATCATGAATGACTCAGTTGTCCTAAACAAACTCATCAACATTTGTCAGGGAACAATTTCATCGCTAGGGGTAGAACCAGTAGTTTAATTACCAGCGAACTTTAGCGAAATCAAATCAAAAAACGCAAAAGGTTACAACAAAAGATGAGGGCCACATAAACTTGCAGATACTCCGTTCCTAGATTAATTACAGATTGAGACGTATATATGATCGGCTGTTGTGATTTATAATCGGGTTCTTTATCGGTCGTAGTTTATGGTACAACTTCTTTAAACCGGGGAGTATTTACAATTAATCACTAATCAGTATTTATTAGCGAGCAGTAAGTTAAGCATTATTTGTCTTGGTAGTAATCATTATTGCTGTCTTTTTGCCTGGCTGAGGTTATAAAGTTTTATCTTGACGCAACTACACTAAACTCAGCGCGAAAAAGCAAATCTTTCTTATGGGTTAACTTATACGTGCAATATTTTCAATTTAGACTAAAAGCAAATGTAACCAGTAAATGTTACGTCGATCCATTCTGTTTGTTTCTACAGTTGAGTAAACTCCTTAGTGACTGACTTTCACTGGCTCATTTTCAAAAAACAACTGCACAACCATAGAACCTCAAGGTAAGAAAATTTTGAAAAAACTCTGATATGTGCATTCTAGTCTGTGTAATTTAAAGGTTATATTTAGCAGTGTTTGTCTGCATATGTATGACCGGGGTCTAAAACTTGCTTGCTTCCTTGCTTTACTCAATTTGTTGAATACTTCATTTACTGCAGTGTATGATTGTTAACTGGTCAATAAATCATCCTTGCTTTTTATTCTATACTCTGTGACTTTCTTTATGTTCAAAAGAGTTCTAAAGCTGTTTCAGTGAGCCATACAAGACTATGCAAAAACAATAGCTTCACTAGCGCGGAAAGCTTCAATGTTGACTATATAAAAAGACAAGCAGTTTTCACGCGCATTTGAAAGAGTAACTTGCAAAATGCGAGAGAAAGAGTTTGTAACCAATTTCCACAGACTTCATTACACAACGAAATTGTATCAGGACGGAGAAGACAATTAGCGAGCTTTTTTTTTTAGATATTTACAGGCCATGTATCAGTAATGATCAGGCTTAAGCAGTCGGTATTCATGCAAAACAACTGTTGAATCTTTGGGTTTGTCTTAAACCCATCTTCATAATAAAGAGGGTCAGAAAGGGGGG